CCAGTCCAGAAGACAAGGGAACTCCTGGACCGAGTATTGGGAGAATTTTTACCTTCGTGGAGGACTTTTTGATGGAGCTAACCTGCATCTGCGCTACATGGAGAGGAAGACCACTAGATCCTCCCACCGTTAGCCTGACGGCAAGGGGGCTCTAACCCATGCTCCGTCTACCACTAAGGATATTTCACGTCAGCACTGTGATCGGTGCAAGCCGGATGCGGAATTCGTATCGACTGGGATTCGATCCCGGTTCACCTCATTGGAAGGCGAACGCTCTATCCCTGAGCCATCGCGGCTCAAAATTGAACCACTTGACCCATGGGGGGATCGAGAACAGAGGGTTTTGTAACCAGTGTACTGAAGAATATCTAGACGAAGTTAATACAAGTGAAATATAGCGGATAAGCTGACCATGCACCAGATGTTACCCGCCCAATTCTATTGTTGACCATACATTGCATTCAAGAGAGGGGGNTTGCATTCAAGAGGGGGGGGGGGGAAATGATCCTTTGGAACCAAAACACTCACTGTCATCATTGGCTCATTCGCGTTCCATTCAGAATAGTCAAGAGGCGAGTCATCACTCCATTTAAACACAGTACCTTTATCAATATTTTCCAGTCCAATCCACATAGTTGTTCCTGTATCTAGCATGATATCTGTGATAAAACCTTAAAGAGAAAATACATCATATAATTCAGTTCTACGCAAACAGATTAAATTAAATTAGGAAACGAGGGTAAAAAAACAGAATTATATTAATCATAACAGTTAGTGCAAGATTACACCCTTATTTTGTGAAAAGCAAGACTAAATTGTTTTAAAAAAAAATTGAGTTTTTTAAGATTTATGACAGCACAACTGTTACTTTAAGGAAGTGACGTAAAATCACATCCGGTTCTGACAGACCATGTGACGTAGACTGGAATAGTTGAAAATCTGAAGAAGCAAGATCTGACGAATACTGCGGATAGGGACTTCCCATTGATGCGTTTCCAAATAGCAAAATCAATTTTCATGCAAAATCGACTTTCAATGTCTCTTGGCTTCAGTTCGCGTGGAACCCAACTTCCTTTGTTTGGGATCATTCCCAACAATTTTAAATGATATGAAATTACTTACTGCCTCACTTGTAACGCAAGAGTAAGTTCCTTTTGTGTTTGAGACGAATCTTCCAATAATTCTTCCAATACCTTGTCTTCGTACAATTTTAGCCTTCCACTGCGTTCTTTGTCTTCCACGTCAAACCGTTTTTAAACTTCTGAAACCACTCACAACAACTTCTCTCACTTAAATCAACCTCGCCATATCTTCTCCAAGCAATCAATGAGTCTCAGCTGCAGATTTCTTCAAATTAGATTCCCGCAATTGACGCATATTTAGCCCTAAATTTGACATTTCTGCAGGAAAACAATTACGTAATGCTAATACGGAATCACTCATATCTTAAGTTTATGTTGTTACCAGATGAACAAGCTTACAATAAGACGTTTAACACTAGTCAATTTTAAATAACCTTCTTGAAGTACCATCTTGTGATGAATGGCGGGAACTTGTTTGTACACCATATATATATATATATATA